ATTTTAAAAGGGGAGCAATTGTGGATTCTAATGGAGCAATGGAGGAGCAATCATTTGATGCTGGTTAGAATTGCACAAAGCTATTAGAAATGTTTTCTATTGAAAATTAAAAATTTTACGTTTTTTGTTAATATTTCGAAAACTATTGATTTTAAAAGTGGAGCAATTGTGGATTCTAATGGAGCAATTCGGGAGCAATCGTTTGAGCTAGGTTTTATACGAAAATATGAACTCCCAGCGCCAACTTAATTCCGGTTATATTTGCCTAAATAAAATTGTACACCTAACTTTCTTCTGAGGCCTTCAATCTTAGTTTTTCTGATTTGACGCTATTCCCTGATGTTAAACGAATAGCATGGTGCTTTCGATTGGTACAAATAAGCCAACGTTCTTCGAAAACAGTCAGCTTACGTGCAACAGCAAGTTATATTTTATAATTTTTTGTCGTTTTTAGTCTCAAACTGACCAGCTTGCTAGCTCTTTGAGTATGTACTTTAAGCACGTTAAAGGATTTTTCATTCTGTAAAGCCAATTCGAAATGCGGTGAGCAACACTACATGTCGGTAATTCTAGTCTGCGGACTTTGCATTGCAATATCATCCACTCATGGGGCACGTAGGAGAAAAGTAAAAACACTTTTATAATGTAAATCGTACCCAAGCTATCGATTAAGCGCAGTCTCAAGTTCGTCGAATCAGCCGTTGTTGAGATCCGAGATTCTGAGGGTCCGTCAACTCGCGCACTCGCGTAAACCAGGGGTGGGCAAAATGCTGCCCGCGGGCACTCAGCCGGCGGGCATGCCCCCACTCCAATCATCGCCCCACCACGTCTCAATCATATTCGGAACTATACTTCAAGCGCGACGTTCTTTCCCACTTGCCGAAACACTGTCTCCTCACTCTTGCCCGACACGCACAGCTATTGCCCGCGGGCAGTGAAAATTGCCCAGGCCTGGTGTAAGAGAAAGTCCAAAGACCGCAATTTTAGTAGAAGTCTATACTGATCAGTCATTTGTGAGCGTTTGATATAAGTGCATTTATATAAGTGCGTTTGATATAAAAACATCGGTTCATTGTGACATCTTTTTAATAATGAAAATATTTATAACAATATAAAATCTCTCAAACAGTTAGATATTTAAATAATTTTTGGTGAATTTTTATTTATGCACAAGTACAATTCTTATTACAAAAACGGATACATTAAATTTAAGGTATTTAGTAATAAAGTATAAATAGCGTACTTCAATGTACTTGCTAATTACCAAACGCATTTAAAATATAAAGGCTGTAACTTTGTGCTGAAATAAATAATACATATATTTAATAATTTGTATAATTTGAGGATTAAAAAAGTGCAGAACGAAACGAAACTTGATTAAGGTGGCCAATTATTTCGTGAACCAACGATGTTCACTGTTATATTGCTATCACTTATCCTTATATTATGGATGTATAATTATTATGTGCAACATGGAAAAACTGGGCGATTAATCAATCTTATACCAGGACCACCAGCTCATCCGATTAGTGGGCATGTATTGAAATACATATCACAATTTAGCTCACGTGGTAAGTTAAAATTTTTGATATATTCCTTTTTTATATACATATATTACATACAAGTTAATAATTATGGTAAAATAATAAATTGATGTTTACACACGACTTTTTGAATGTAACATTTACAAACATTCCATTGTTTAATAAAGATGAACAATTATGTATATTATCGAATGTTGATTACTTTTAAGAACTATTTAAGCTTAAAACTATTTTAAAGAGAGTTAAAGTTCATTTTTAATTATTATGGTTATTTGAACAAAAGACGGTTACATTAAATATAATGGTAAAATCAATTGTATGCTTTTCGATCAATATTTATATTTCCGTGAATTTATATAATAAACGTATACATATATACATTTTTAGTGGCGCTGTGGAAGCTTCTACGTTCAGTATGTAAAGACAACTATCCTATTTTTAAATTATGGGCATTCTCTATACCCCTAGTATCCATTAGTCATCCGGATGATCTAGAGGTAATAAAATATAAAGCATTTCGTTCTGGTTTCTTTTTCTATTTTTGATATATTAGTGACAAGACGTATATTAAATTTTTATTTCTGTCTTTTCTCGAAAAATATGTCTATTTGTAAGAAACATGGTAAAGATACTTCAAACATAATTCACTACCTGAAAAGTTGTTTAACTTTCTACAGTTTCAGCAGAGTTAGAAAATAACGTATTATTTATAGCGTCATTACCGTGACTCTTATTCAGATTATTACTTTTATCAGTAACAGTAACGTTGTTACGTTTATTGGGTAACAATAACAAAGTCAACCGTACTTCTATCGTTATATCTTGAATATACAAATTCATATTGAAAACTCAGCCAAAACTCTGATTCAGAGAATTAAGATTTCTTTACGTGATTGCTTTAAACCCGGGAAAAAATGTCTATATCTAATTATATTTGAGTACATCTAACTC